TGGCAGAGTAAGTGTCCAATAAATATTTTTCTTGTAAACATTGGATTAATAAGAATACAGGTAATTCTCTTAGACATTGAGAACTTGATGTTGGCAGAGGAAGGCTAGCTGTTGCCAAAAATGCGGGACTAATGGTGTGTAGCTGCTTCGGCAGTTTCCTAACGCTCCCCCACCCCATTCCCAGAAGTTGCTGCAGTAAACTGATTTTAGCCATGTGACAACCAAGCTGTACAGATGACCTGAGCTACTTGAGGAAGGTTGGAGAGGTCCACCATTTCAGCAGCAGGGCTCGTGTACACTGCAGGACCATTCCAGGGCACCTCCGTGCCACTGAGGACATTGAAACTGCAGTGACTTTTACCTCCTCTTACTGAGGCCTTCCTTCACCAAAAGTCGTATTGGAAATGGCCCTTAGGAGCTGGACAGGGTAAACATCAGAAAACCTAAACAGTTTGTTTGCTTAAAATGTAATGCACATCTGTGAAACCACCACTCAGCCAAATGGCATCTGCCAGTTGTTCCTCCCCCACCCCATCCCATCCTCCTGGCTCCTGATTCCCTGCCCGGGGCAACTGCTCTCCAGAAAGTTGGGCTGTTTGTTTTCTGGTTTTTAAAATCCTCCCTCCCTCCCTCTTCCCCTTTCTCTCTTCCTGTTTCTGTCCCTCCCCCTGTACAAATGTACAAAATGTTATCATACTGTGCTCATAATTTGCCTTTGCCTGAGGTTGAGCATCTCTTTATGTAATTATTGGCGTTATATGCTTCCTTTTCTGATGAGAAATGACTATGCACGCTTTTCATGTCTTTTGCCCATTTTTCTGTTGGGTATTTTCTTAATGATTTGTAGGTGTTTTTATGTGTTTTGGTGCTCATCCTCCATCAGTAGCATGTGTTACAAATATCTTCTCTCAGTTTATAGATTGTCTTCACTCTTTTTAAAGTGTCTCCTGATGGACAGAAGTTTTAATATTAATATAGCCAAATGTATTGATCTTGTTTTATGCTTAACATTTTTTGTGTCTTCATAAATTCTTTCCTGTTTCAAGCTCAGGAAGGTATTTACTTATATTTTCTTCTCAAGTTTTTAAAGTTTGCTTTTGACATTTAAGTTCTCCATCTATCAGGAGTTGATTTTTTGGCTTGGTGTGAGTAAGAATTCAATTTCTTTTTTTTCCCTATGGATAAACAATTTTTCCAGCTTTTCCTTTTCCACACTCTTTGTCATGATGTCTCTGTCCAGAATCAAACTTTGACAGATGCATAATAACTGTATTTCTAGGCTCCTCTATACCACTGGTCAGTTTGTCTTTCTCTGCACCATACCACGCTGTCTTAATTACTCTAGCTTTTCAGGAAGTTTGTTTGGCAAGGCACGTCCCCTTTCCTTTCTCTTCAGAAATGCCTGGGCTGTCGTTGTCCCATTTAAATTTTGGAATCAACCTTTCTAATTCCACAGAATAATTGAGGTATATACAGTAAAATTTCCCTCTTTGTTACGCAATTTTGTGTTTCCCCAAATGTACACAACCACGTAACCAGCACCACACTCAAGATACAGGACAGTTCTGTACCCCCCAGATTCCCTCATCCCATTGTAGCTGACCTCCCCCTGCCCCTGGCTACCACTGCTCTGTTTTCTGTTCAGATTTGTTTTTCATGTCATTCAAAATTTTTTCAGTGTTTTATTGAAATATTGGATTTTTATTTATTTATTTATTTTTTTTACTGGCGTTGCATTAAATCTATAGATAAATTTAGGAAGGAATCTACATCTTATTTTAAGCCTTTTTGTCCATAAACGTAATGTATCGATTAACTTAGTTGGAGAAACTTAGCTTAACCATAATGGAAAGTTTTTAATTTTTAGAAAAATATCTAAACATTTTAAGTGATTCTTTAAAACTCTTAGTAAAGGAAGCATTTTATAAGATAATTGTTCATCTAAATAAACACATAAATATACACAAATATATGGCACACATGTGTTAATATTACATTAAAAAAAAAAAGAAAAAAGAAAAAACAACCCAAACCCGTCTTGGCTCCTAACCAGCTTTGTTGCTCACCTGCAAGACCTTAGGCAGGCTGCTCAGCTTCCCTGGTGCTTCATCTCTTTATCTGTATGTGACTAGAGCATCCCTTTTTTATGGGGTGGTTGTGAAGATTTAATGCTCCAGTGTGTGCAGTGTGTCAAGAGACAGCAGACCCAGCACAGTGAAGCCGTGAGTGGATGAGACTATTATTTGGGAGAAACCACTCTCTCTCACCTACGAGGAAAGAGGGAGGCCTCCATGTTTGGCTCCCCAGGGGCTTTAACCAAGTGGCACAACCGAAAGATGGCCTTGAACCATTTCCCTGACAGATTTGGAAAGGTTGGAGTTGCCAAGCAGCCGGCTACATGCTGCTTCTGACAGGCGAGATGGAATCACCGAGGACACAGCTGACAGCCAGTTCATTTTGCTGATTCATCCATCAGAGGGGTGGCTTTGCGCCAGGGCTTGGCTCCTAGATGAAAGGCGGAAAGCTGCAAAGCTGCTGGGACTTGAAGGAATGCTGGTAAATTATTGCCATGTGAAGGCCAGCAGTGAAAAGTGGATTGTTATTCATTTCCCCTTTTAAGCGATCCTAATTCCAATGTGCTCAGATAAATTCCCGCTGGTGGTCAGACAGTTGTTTGTAACCTTTGTCCATGGGGCTGAGAGCTAAATTACTGGAAACAGTCGGACACTGTGAAATAGATCACCTTGGCTCCTTTGCCATCCCATTATCACCTTTGTTTTCATGGGGAAGAGTGACGCGGGCTAACTCTTTTACTTGGTAGCCCAGATTAAATTTATGAGAGGGATTACTGCAGATGTCGCCCCCTTTGGACGCGCTTGCAAAATGAACCTGCTGGATTAAAGAATGAAACTTAAAAGAGAAAAATCCAGGAGGTGCTCATTTACTAACAGCCAGTACAGAATAACGACGGCAGAATCTGTGGGTTCTCACATGGGTGGGTTAACCTGTTTTGGGGGCAGTCTGAAGCATACAGAGAAATCAGCTCTACCTAAAGCTCTCACGTGACAGGGTGAGCCTGAGTGGGTGGAGATGGTGTCTTGTTTTACTGAATACCTAGCATAGTCCCTGGAAAGGTACTCCATGAGCAGTTACTTGATAGACGCATACATGGATAATGTTTGTTGATTTGGAAATTGTTGGGTGATTAGATAAATGAGGGTAAAAGTCAGAAATGTGGCCCATTGGAAGCAGGAAAAGTAGCTATCACAGGAATGAGTTTTTCAAAAAGTCCTATTTTTGTGGTTCTCTGATATAAGTGACTGGTCAGTAGCTCATCTCCGCAACTCAATGCCTTCTCTGCTATCTCCTCGTGAGTGAGTCAGGGCGTGCTATTTTGAGCTCACATTTCAGTAACTCACTCTACTTTGGGAGACTTTGCAGAATATGAAAGTTCCTTTATACTCTGAGGATATTTTTTTTCCCCCGTCTTTAACTCTAGAGCGGGTATTTGAAAATTCCAGCAAACTTCTTATTAAAAATTTGTGTTTCTTAGAGAAGTGGGGTTTTCTTGTTTTTGTTTTTTTATTTTGCTGTTTAAAAGGCTAAACATTTAGGGCATGACATTTTGTAAACCACCATTGTGCTGAGAAGTTCTAAGCACATCTGGTCCACATGGAGTGAAGATGACGTGTCAGGTGTCGGATACATGGAACATCTGCCTCTCACTCAGTTGTCTTTCCCTCTGGTTTAAGGTCCCTTATATACTGGAGCCCCTTGTCCCGTGCTGATGTGCTCGCAGACTGCGTGCTCACCGTCCCTGTATGCATTGTGCTGTGCACACACTCACACAATAGTATTAGAACCACTCTGTACCACGAACCTGGCTAGGAGTGGGTATACGGATTCTGTGTCAGAAGTCACGGTGCCTTTGCAGCTGCCCAGGTACCAAGTCTACCCCTAATCACCCCTGGCAGCATGGCCAGGCTCTCCCTGTCCCGCTGCCAGTGTGGGTAGTAACTGTTGGCAGTGACTGGGGGCTAGGAGAGTCTATGCTCAAACTGCGTGAGCCCGGACCAGCAAATGGGCACCCGTCCAGTAGGTCTTGCATGGGTCCTTGCTCCCACACTACCAGTGTTTTCCATCCCATCTACCTCCGAGGAGGAGGCAGCAAGGAATTGCAACAGAACTGACCTGGCCTTAGTCAAGCATTACCACCAGCTTTCAAGTGCTCCTGCCAGCCAGAGGCACATTACAGATACTCAGCAGTCTTTAAAAGCACTAGGACAAGAGGCATGTCTCAAGCATTGTGGGGATGTCTTGAATTTGCAGAGTCCAAAATGAGGTGCGAAGCGGTAAGAAGGGTCTGACCTCAGGGTCAGAGTAACCTGGTTTTGCATCCCCGTGCTGCCTCACTCGTGGCGTGGTCTGCCATAAGTCACCTGACCTCTGCACCCCTGCTTTCTCATCTGCAAAACCAGTTGCTCCCCTTCAAGCATATTGTGAAGATTCGACACCGTGTTTGCAGTACACTGGGTGCAGATATGTGGTAGATCTTCAGCATTTGACACAGCGATCGGCATCACTGTCAAGATTGCTTCCATTGTCGTTTTCATCTGTAACAAAATAAGCGAGGGCTTACAGTTTTCCCTTAGTGGTTTGGTTTTGTTGTTGTTTTCACTTTCTTACTCTGAAAATGAAAATGGTAATGTTACCTGCAAACATTTTGCAAATTAACATTTTACTTACATCATTGCAGTTCTTTACAGTTTACAAAGCACTTTCACATGGTAAGGGAGATTGGGGAGAGGTGATTCTCTTTCCTCCAGACAAGGACACTCAGACTTGGAGAGTGTGTGGAACATTCCCAAGGCCACCTGGCTTCTCAGTGGCAGAACCAGCGTCTGACCTCAGACCTGACCCCAGGGCTCCTTTGACCACCTCGGTGACATCTCTGGAGTGAGGCCAGTCTCTTCTATAAGGATTTTTTCTTTTCCTTGTAGCCGTCAATACCAGCAAATATGCAGAAAGCTATCGGATCCAGACGTATGCTGAATATGTGGGGAAGAAACACAAGGAAAAGCAGATCAAGAGGAAGTGGCCAGAAGAGAGCTGGAAGGAGGTTGAGAAAAAGCAGCTGAACACACAGTGCATATCCTATGCTCTGCAGAATCACTGCTACCGCACCAATAGGTAAGACTCCTCAGCTAGTGACTTAAAAGGGCAGTTATTCTAACGATAGCTTTACTTTTTTTTTTTTTCTCTTTTTTTTGTTTATGTATTTCTTTGTTATCTGTATCAGTTACCAGAGTGAGGCCAGGAACTTGACCGTCTTGTTCACTGGCCTGGCACATGGTAGCTAGAGGCTCAGTGAACACATAGCAAATGCATGAATGATTAGATGAAGGTCTTGTAAGTTGCACTGAATGACCCAGAGATGCCCACTGCCTTGATTCTCAATATCTGAATAAAGTCCATCTTCATTAGAAGAGAATGAACTAAACAGAGAAAAGCAGAAGGAAGAGAGAGAGAGTAAAAGAGAGAGAGAGGTGGATGAGTCTCTGATTAGAGGCTTATGGATGTACAATTTATCCTTTACTTCTTCCTTAATGGGGTGAGCCATTCAAATATATTGTAAATACGAGTAAACATCTTCCCTTATTTAACCTTAAGTTAGTTAGACTTGGGATTGGGGTTTCATTTTTGCAATCAAAGACTTCCAGTAATTAACTTGTTTCTTTGGAATATGTATTTCTATTGTTAAAAAGGAGCAACGCAATGTGGCAGAATATGCTAATGGTGCCCATTATCCATTTTTACCTTCTTCCTTGGTAAGTTAAGGAGGATGTATTAGTTACCTACTGCTGCTGTAACAAATTGCCACAATATTATTAGTGGCTTAAAACAGCACAGATTTCTTATCTCATAGTCCTGGAGGTCAGAAGCCTGAAATGGCTTGGCAGGGCTGTGTGCCTCCTGGAGGCTCTCGGAGAGGATGTGTTTCTTTGCCGTTTCCAGCTTCTAGAGGCTGCCTGCGTTCTTTGGCTCAGGGCCCCTCCTCACATGGTTCTGACCTCTGCCTTCACTGTCACATCTCCTTTTCTGGCAATAGCTTTTCTTATTGCTTTCTACAGGATCTTAAGTAACACATCTGACTTTGGAGAAAGACCTTTTTCTACCTTTCCCCATAGTATCAGAAGTGACTACTACCTGAATTCCTTCTGTGCTTTATCGGCCACAGCTGTTTCAGTTAACACAAAAGCCTCTGGAGGCAGACAGGATACATCTTATTCTTACTTAGGGTTGAGGAAAGGGAGGCTCCATGATTCGCCCAGCAGTTCAGTGATGGAGTGAGGTTCAGAGCTGACCTCGGCTGTGTCTGATCCCGTCCCCTTCTCAGTCCGCCAGCCACGTCACCTCTGCCTGAGCCTCTGAATTCCATGCAGACCCTTGTAGGGGTCTGAAGCACATGCACACTGGAGACAGAGAACTTGACGAATACAAGGTCTGACAATTAGGTTTGCGAACTTGTTGCAACGATGTTGCTAACCTTTTTTGATATCAGAGGGATTACTTATTATGAATGTGTACCACCTGGACAAAGAGTTAATCAAGTTTACTATTAGGAAGTGCTGAAAAGGCTGCATGAAAAAGACGACCTGAGCTTTTCTCCAACAAGTCATGGCTCTTGCATCACGACAATGCACCAGCTCACACGGCGCTGTCTGTGAGGGAGTTTTTAGCCAGTAAACAAATCACTGTATTGGAACACCCTCCCTACTCACCTGATCTGGCCCCCAGCGACTTCTTTCTTTACCTGAAGATAAAGGAAATATTGAAAGGAAGACATTTTGAGGACATTCAGGACATCAAGGGTAATATGACGACAGCTCTGATGCCTTTCCAGAAAGAGTTCCAAAATTATTTTGAAGGGTGGACTAGGCACTGGCGTCAGTGCATAGCTTCCCAAAGGGGAGTAGTACAGTGCTTCTAAGGTGACCGTAATGATACTCAGCAATGAGATATGTAGCACTTTTTCTAGAATGAGTTTATGATCTTAATTGTCCGATCTCATACCTACTTTTCAGAAGGTAAATAATGGTAACGTTTTGGCATCTTGGTGAAACTACAAAACATAGGTATAGAGAATAGGAGAAGGAGGAGTTCATTATAGAAAATTATAAAGTTCATAAAAGTGTGAATTAGCTAAAGGAGAAGTTAGCCATAATTTCACCAACCAGAAGTAATTACAGTTAATATTTTGGCTTGCCTTCCATAATTTTTATTTATTTTTTGCTTATTAAATTTATTGGAGTGACATTCATTAATAAGATTATATAAGTTTCAGGTGTACAATTCTATAATACATCATCTGTATATTGCATTGTGTGCTCATCACCCAAAATCTAGTCTCCTTCCATTACCATATATTTGACCCCCTTTACCTTGTTCTGCCTTCTCCCACCCCCTTCCTCTCTGGTAACCACCATGATGTTGTCTGTGTCTTTAAGTTTTTTGTTTGCTTCTTTTTGTTGCTTTCTGTTTTATATTACACATAGAAGTGAAATCATGTGTTTCTTGTTCTTTTCCATCTGACATATTTGTTTAGCATAAGAGTCTCAAGATCCTTCCATGTTGTTGCAATCCTTCATACTTTTTAAATGGTTTTTTAGAGATTTAAAAAATTGAGGTATAATTAATGTGCAATAAAATGTACAGATATAAAATGTTTAATTCAAAGAGTTGTAACAGTTATATACCACCCAAAGCAATATCTAGAATACTTCTACCTCCCTCCAAAGTTTCCCTTGTACCGCTTTTTAAGCAACCCCAAGCCCCCACTGCCCTAAGCAACCACTTCTAATTTCAGTCACCATAGATTAATTTTTATTATTCTTGGTATTTGTAAAAAATGGAGTCATATGGTATTGTGTTTGGCTTCATTTGCTTAACATGTTTTTGAAATTCATCCCTGATATTGCTTGTGTCAGTAGTTCATTATTTTTTGTTGTTGAGTAGTATTCCACTGTACGAATATACATTTACCTGTTCTCCTGTTGGTGGACATGTGGGCTGTTTCCAGTTTGGGACTATTATAAATAAGGCTGCAATGAACATTTGTGTAAAAAGAAAATATTTGTAGGCATATGTTTTCATTTCTCTTGAGTTAAACACCTAAGACGAGAGTCGCTGGTTCTTAGGATAGATGAATGTTAAATTATAAGAACAACCAAACAGCTCTCCAAACTGGATGTACCATTTTATTCTCCACCAGTATCGTATGTCAGTTCCAGTTGCCCCATATCCTTGCCAACATTTAGTGCTATCAGCCATTCTAGAGGATGTAAGATCGCATTGCCTTGTGGTTTTAATTTGTGTTTTTCTGGTGACTAATGATGTTGACCACCTTTTTGTGTGCTTGTTGGCCATTCAGATATCTTCTTTTATTTATTTATTTATTTATTTTAGCTGAGCCATCCTGCCACCTGTTGGCAGCTCAGCGGCAGCTCAGCTCGGGCTGGACATCAAACCGCTGTTGCTCAGAGTTCAAACTCTTGAGCTAGCTCTTAACCAACTCGGCCGGCCCTTTGAGGTGGATGTTTAAGTCTTGCCCATTTTCTAATTGGATTCTTTGTCTTTTCACTGTTTTTACTGTAGCAGTTCTTTTAAGTATTCTGGACATACATGTTTTTCAGATAGATGTGCTGCAAATATATTTTTTCGAGTCTGGGATTGCCTTTTCATTTTATTAGTGATGTCTTTTGATGAGCATGTATTTTTAATTTTGATGAAGTCCTGTTTATAATTTTTTTCTTTATGATTAGTGGTTTTATCCCTATCCAAAAATTTTTGTATACCCCAGGGCTGTAATGATTTTCTTACATGTTTTCTTCTAGAAGTTTCATAGTTTTAACTTTTACATTTAAATCATGGCCTATTTCAAATTAATTTTGTATATGGAATGAGATAGGAGTCAAGGTTTACTTTTTTCCATATGGATATCTAGTTGTTCTAGCAACATTTGCTCAAAAGATTTTCTTTCCTCATTAATTGATTTGGCATTTTTCGTCAAAATTAAATTGACCATGTACATCTAGGTCTATTTCTGAACTCTTCTGCTTCACTAATTTTTGTCTACTCTTATGCCAATACCACACTTTCTTATTGCCGTGACTTTATAATAAGTCTTAAATTCAGACAGCATAAATCCTTCAAAATTGCTTTTCTTTTTCAGATTGTTTAGGCTATTCTCGATCCCTTGTATTCCAAATGAGAATCACTTTGTCTGTTTCTTCACTGAGCCTTTTTTTGTAGTTTTTGTTGTAGAGGTCTTACATGTCTTATGTTATTTTTCTTCCTAAATACGTTGATGCTGTTTTAATGGAATTGTTTCTTAAACCCATTCATTTTCAAATTTTTGCTGCTTCTATATAGACATGTGATTAATTATTTATTGACCTTGTGTCCTGAAACCTTTTAGAATTCATTTATTCTGTTAGGATTTTTTTTTTTAATATTCCACAGAATTTTTAATGTACATATATTGGCGTGCTACTAAAAGTTTTACTTCTTTTCCAATCTTTATGTCTTTTATTTCTTTTTCTTGCCGTATTGCCCTGAGTAGCGCCTCTGGTGTATTGTTAAATAGAAGTGGTAAGAGTGGATATCCCTGCCTTGTTTCCAGTATTAGAGAGGGGAAGCTCAGGGTTTTCCCAAGAAGTATGATTTTTAGGTTGTCCATCCAGGTCCTTTTTCAGGCCGAGGAAGTTTCCTTCCAGTTTTAGTTGGCATCATGAATGTTTTCAGACATTCTTTCTGTAGCTTTTAAAATTATTAGATGGCTTTTGTCCATTATTTTGTTAATATTTTGAATTACATTAATTGGTTTTAAGTACTTAATCAGATTTGCATTCCTGGGAGAAATCCCATTTGGTCATGATGTATTATCCTTTTTACATGTTGCTGAATTTGATTTGCTAATATTTTGTGAAGTATTTTTATATCTTTATTCATGAGGAACATTGGGTTGTAATTTTCTTTTACATTTTTGTCAAGTTTTTGTATTAGGAGTATGCTGACCTCATAAACTAATTAGGAAGTTCCTCTTCTGTTATTTTCTGAAACAGTGTGTATAGGATTCATTCTTTAAAATTTTGGTAGAATTTACTAGTGAAGACACCTGGGCATAGAAT